CGGAAGGCTCGGGCCCTGTCCACGCGGAGCGACTGGCCCAGCTGGGCTCGTCGGCGTCGGGCCCCGCGCACTTAGTCATCGCGGGCGACTTCAACGTGGCCCCAGGGGCCCTGGAAGGCCCAGGCTTTCGTTCGCAAGCTAGGGGCGGTGACGACGTCGCCTACTATGACCGCGCGCAGGTCGACTTTGTCGTAATAGGCCCGGGCTTTGCTCGTCTGGTCCAAGATGTCAAGGCCGATGCGTTTTGGGAGATAGAACCTCGCCGCCCAGTTTCTCTCGCCATCCGCCCTGACGCCCCCGGCGCGCCAAGCAGTTGGTCTACGTGTGTTTCCAGGGATTTCCCCTTGAGCTGCCCTGCGGGCGCCGACCGGATGAGGGGCGCTGGAAGGGCGCCCGGCGCCGTGCCGCGCACGCAGCTGCTCGCGCTCGCCAGCGCCCCGCAGGCGAGGTCTGGGCCACTTTGAACGCTGCGTGGTCTTTCATCACTGGCTGCGCAAAACTCGAGCTAGCACGTTTCCGGGGGGTCGAGGCCGAGGTCCTGGGAGAGGGGCGACGCCATCCAGGCCTCGCGGGGGGCCATATGCCATAGTCTACAGGCCGCTGCTCGACAGCGACCAGCGCCAGGCTTGTTCTGGGTGGCGCTGGCTCTACCATGCCCACGCTGAGTTCCCACTGGCGACCGAGCACACCGCTTAAGGCGAGCCCCGGGCCTCGGTCCTCAAGGATGCGTTGTAGCACCCCTGTCCTAGAGAGAGTCTCAGCATCTGGTTGGGCGCATCCCTCGAGCGGCGCTCAGACCATCCTCAGATGGAGGAGCGGCGCGCGAGAGCTTCTTTTGGAAGCTATTGCCGACGACCTGTCAGATGCCAATGACCTCGGGGTGAAGCTCCAACAGCAGGCGTGGGATACCTGACAGCAAGAGGCCCCTGCAATGTCAACCCGTTCGATGCATCGCCCAGCCCAATTGCAAACCACATGGCAACCGACGGTTGCGCGGGCCCCCCTTGGGATTTGCAGTTCGGTCTTTGTCAAGCTCTTAGACGCTGAAACGGTCAAGCTTGGAAGCCACTGGAAGGCCGCCGCTGCGCCGCCCGAGGCTCGGATGCCAGATCGTAGCTGCGTCGAGCGGGCGACCGCCGATCAATTTCGCACGGCACCGAGGTCTTTCAGCAAGCACGCCGCTCAGTCCCTGGATTCCCTGCGAGCGCCCCACTTCGGCCTCCTGAGGGACACTGGCTTGGAGGCAATGGCTCTGCTCTTCGGGGCGATTGAGCGCCTCGGCCTGTTCCCGTTGCAGTTACTGCGGATGCTTCTGCCGCTGCTAGAGAAGCCTCGCGGAGGACTTCGACCCATCTTACTGCTTGCTACCTCTGGTCGTATTTAGCACCGGCTGAGACGCTCGAAGGCCGATGCGTTGCTGGAGCGTTCCCACAGACTGCACTGGCCCTTCTGGGCTGGGCAGCCTTCGGAGGCCGCGGTCTGGCAGCGGTGCATATTTGCTGAAGAAGCGGCCTGTAGCGGGGATAGCGCGGCGGGTGTCATATGGGACGGGCAGAAATACGATGAATCCTTCAAGTCGCCCTGGCTTCGGGCCCGCACCGAGCACTGGGGCACCCCTCGAGGGCTCGCCGAGACCCTGCGCAACCTATGGCGCAGCCCCCCGCGCGCTGCGTCTTGGGGCCATCGCTGCCCCCTGCCGCAGCAAGCGGCCCCGGGCCCCCCTGCTGGTCGCATATCCAGCGATGTGTTCGTGAAGGCCTATGCCATGTTCGAGTTCGACCAGCGCTGCGTTCGCAACCCGACGGTTTCGCTCGGCTTGCACATCGACGATGACGCGGTCACTATGACTGGGCCACCAGGGCTTGCGGCCAGCGCGCTCGCCGCCGCCGCAGCTGACCTGAAGGTCGTGTTTTCGGAGCGAGTGAATGCGAAGCTGGCTGAGAAGACGGCCCCCGCGCGCGCGTCGCCCCAGGGAGTGGCCGCCCGCCCGGCCAAGAAGCTCGCTCGGCACTGCCCCTCTGTCGCCTGCAACTCAGTCGCCCCCCTGGGTTGCTTTCTGGCGCCGGGACAGCATCGGGCGGCAATGCAGGGTCGCACCGAGCGTACGGAGAGGCTCAAGGCGATGAGAATTCGATGTGGTTTCGTCCAGTTGTTCTTCGGACGCAGCATCCTAGGGGCCGATCTCGGATGAACGAGATATACGTATCGGAGCTCAGGCCAGCTGCTGGGCACGGGCCCATGGCCCTGGGGATGTCTGACCATGAGCTCCTTGAACTCAGGGGGGTGGTCTTAGCAGGAAATTCGCCAGCGCATCGAGGAGTTTCTCTCGCGGCCACGATTTGTCTGCACGGTGACCCAGCCTGGCTTCGGGCGACCGCTCCTGCCAGGCAGTGGGCAACGAGTCCTGCGAGAAGTCCGACGGCTCCGACCACCAGCCCCCTCGCCCTCAGGGGCCGCGCCAGGATGCGGAGGGCCCTCGAGGCGCAGCAGCTGGAGCTGGGGCTCCAACAATGGAGAATACTCCAGAGGCCCTGGTCATCGAATGCTCCTGGAATTGCACCGCGTGGGCTAGAAGGCTTCAAGTGTCCACATCTGGCAAGATGATTTAGGACACCTAGTTGATCTAAAGTGCGCACCCCCTGCCATGGCGTCTACCTTGCGGCTGGGGGGAGCGCGGCGATCTCGCGAGGGAGACTGCTCGCGGCGTCGACCCCCTCCTTCGTCGGCGACAGCGTTTCGGTTGACCCCCACCGTGCCCCGCCCCCCTTTCGAAGCGAACCACGCCGCGAACTAAGCATTGGATGTGCGCCTGTTTTCCCAAGGGGCCTGGACGGCGGGTCGCCTTTGGGGGTCGGGGTGCGAGTTCGACTGCGCGCGCCCGTGTTGCGGACAGCCAGACCCCCTCTTTCACCGACAGCAGTTACGCCAGGCCCATGAGATAGAAGCGACGCACAGCCAGATGATAGAAGACGAATTTGTTCAGGAAACCAGAGCCACCGAGCCGTCTGAGCATCCTGTTTGCAGTCGGTTGATGTTGGCCCAGCCGAGTGAGTTTTCCCCTCTTCATTCGGTGTCGCCGGACTCGTCTAGGCGGCGGCGGCAGGCCTTTAACCTTCCAGGAATTCGTTGAATGCAGCGGTAGTTGCGACGTAGACGGCTCGGCCGCTCAGTAAATCACGAAAGGTTGAAATCGAGCTTCGTTCGCGGCGGCGTTTCTGGAGCTTGGGCTCGAGTTCGAAGATCGGACCAGGATGATGGCCCCGATCTGGTACGTTCTTCCCCAGACCTCCGCAAGCCGCCGAGAACGTTGGTCTCGCTACAGTTAGTGCGTTCGCGTCTGGCATGGGCAACCCGCGCAGCGATTGCAGAGGAGCCGTCCGATAGCACAATGCGTCGGACGCGGCCCAGCTGAGCAGCAAGCAGATTTGTGCTGGAATCCGCAGGGCCGCTCAGCAGTTCCGGCCACACCTGCGCGCCAGCGCACCGATCAGAGGACCCGAGGAGAAGGACTGCACTAGCGAACGCAGACGCCGACCGCTTGGCGAAGCACGCGCAAGCGTCACCTGCTGATGTGGAGTCCCAGATAGGCAGGTGAAGCTGCTCCTTTCTTGCGCGAAGATGCTCGGTGCCGTGCTCCCGCTGCTCCCGAAGCCGGAGTTCACACGCCAGGCCCGCCGCCCCCGAGCGAAGCCGCCGCCCGACTGGCATGAGCGGGAGGAGCTCGGGGAGGACTGCGGGGCCAGGTGCAGCAGATGTTTTCTGGTGTCCTTCGATTGCGAAGCCCGACCCATGAATGGTTGCACGGGTGCCCCCACGGCCCTGAGGCGCCTCGGTGGTGCCGAGTCTGTTCGACGACGCAAGTTGTGCCTTGCTGCTTTCAGCCAGTCTAAACAAACCTATTTGTTTTTGCACCCGGTGTGGAGCGCACGCCAGTCGTCGGTGTCACTTGCTTCGCCAGATGTGTTTTGAGAAGCTTGGAGCCTCAGGAGAGGGTGCCCTCAAGCGAATCAGAGAAGGCCTCCACCTTCAGTGCAGAAGTCATGTTGGGGCTGATGACGCTGTCGCGCCGTGACCTGCACCGCCCAGGTCGGTGCTCCCCGCCCCTCCTGGACCCGACGCTGCAGGCAAGGCCCGATTAGCCGACAACGATCGACTACGAGCCCTGGCCGAGCGCATTCGGGCCAACGAGGCGGCCGCCCAGCGAGGCGGCGGATCATAGGGATGTTCTGCCTCAGGCTTTCGGGTCCTTCTCCCCCTCCTCCTCATCTTCTTCTTCCCTCTCCTACTTCTCCTGCCGATGGTAGTGATGGTGGAACATCGGCCCATCAGCCGCGTCTGGCCGCGGGTCTGAGTGGCAACGCCAGGGAGGCGGGGGGGTCAGGCTGAGCGGGATCACGTCGTTCGAGGTTCGCGGTGCTCGGGCGTTTCCGTCGGTTCTCGGCGTATTTCCAGCCTTGGGATGCCTTCGGGGGTGCCCGGGTCGCCCCAAATGACCGCCGGAGAGCCGAGCTATGTAACTACGGGGACAGGCGAATGGGGAGACGCATCGACCCCCAATCGCCCGCTCATGGCCGGTAGGGGCGATAGTTTAACCCTCCTGGGAGTGTGCGGATTCGCTCTCGGGTTGTCGGTGGCGTGTCGTCGATTTATTGACAATGTATCGCCGGTTCCAAATCGATGTTTCCCCCTGCGCGTGTCCCCCTATTGTTCTCGTTGCCCCTCAGGGTCTTGCTTCGTTATCGTTGCCCCGCAGGGTTTTGCTTCCCCACCAATATGTGGGTCCCAGTCGTTGAGTTTTGTGTTGCTCGCAGTAGGTGGTCGCACCTGCGCCCACTTCTAACGACGAAAACGAGCTTTGCCCTAGTGCACCACAACACAATGTCAGAACATGACTGATTCCAGCATTTCCGTCCACATTGATGATGGCGTCTGTGCGTAGCCATTTTGGCTCGGTTTTGATACCCAACGCCAAGCGCCAGCCGTTCCCAGGACCCGGCGCGATGGGTTTGCCAGGATTCGTAGTGTTAATTGCAGGTTGGAGTTTATTGCTTTCGGCGGGTGCCGACATCCCAGAGGAGGACGGTGTCCTGGTACTCACCGAGAAGACTTTTGACGGGGCGATCAAGAATAACCCATTCATCCTCGTAGAGTTCTACGCGCCTTGGTGTGGCCACTGTAAGCAGTTTGCTCCAGAGTACGCCGCAGCGGCAGGGAAGTTGAAGCAGGCCCAGCCGCCCATTCCGCTCGCCAAGGTGGACGCCACTGTCGAGGGAAAGCTTTCGGAGGACTACGGTGTCAGGGGTTATCCCACTATCCGTCTGTTTGTGGATGGTAAGGACCAGGAGTACACTGGTGGACGAACTGAGCAGAGCATCGTCGCATGGGCGCCCCGCTTAGATACCAACAAATTGCTTACCACTGTAAAGTAATTGCAGTGCGGGGAGAAAGGTATTGTCTGTAAGCATGGTGTGTAAGCTATGTGGCGTAGTGCAAATATGTTTGCAAGCTATGTAGTGCAAGCTATGTTGTGTAAGCTATGGTGTGCACTAAAAGAAGGTATGCGCTGCCTGGTGAAAGCTGCTCAGTGTGAGCCCCATGGTGCGAGCTGCGTGGTGTAAGCGCACGGGGCGCCACCCTGGCACCCACGAGCGGTCACGGGCGCCACCGAGGCGGAGCCTCGGCAATCCCACCCAGCACACGGAGCGCTCGCGAGCGGCCATGGGCGCCCATGAGGCGAAGTGTTGGGAACACCGCCCAGCACACGGGGCGCACAGGAGGCGCCCACGAGCGGGCACGGGCGCCCACGAGGCGAAACTTAAGTGCAGCCCACCCCGCGCACGGAGCGCCCACGAGGCGCCCGCGAGCGGGCGCGGGCGCCAATGTGACGAAGACCCGGCAGACCCATCAAGTTTCTGAAGAATGCCAAGTCGGAACAATTACGGTAGGCCTGTGTCGTGCCGACCGTCGGCGACCCCGCCGTTGGCGTTCAACGTTGAACGCCGCTGGCAACCCAGAATCAGTCGATGTTGAACGATCGGACGTTTTGGAAACGGCCGATCGTTCAAGGTTGAACGATCCCCGCGGTATCAGGGACCAACGCCGGGGTCGACACGACACGAACCTACCGTACGTGCAAACATTGTCCGGACAATAAGGGCACGCAAGGCCAGTTGATCGAGTTTTGTGCCACTTCGCTGCGGTCGCCTGCCTCGATCATGTTTTATTCCCTACCTAGGCTCTGCCTAGAAGGGTTCTTACTCTCTTTGCTTAAAGGGCCGGGCAATGGAAACCGCCCCGGGCGGTTCCCCCAGTCCCCGCCCCGCGGTTCCCCCAGTTGCGCCCCCTGGGTTCACCCAGCTTAGCTTAGCTTCAGCTTAGCTTTAGCTTAGCTTGAGCTTAGCTTTAGCTTAGTTTTAGCTTAGCTTTAGCTTAGCTTTAGCTTAGCTTAGCTTTAGCTTTGCTCTAGCTTAGCTTTGCTTAGCTCTAGCTTAGCTTCAGCTTAGATTCAGCTTAGCTCTAGCTTAGCTTTAGCTTAGCTCTAGCTTAGCTTCAGCTTAGCTTTAGCTTAGTTTCAGCTTAGCTCTAGCTTAGCGTTAGCTTAGCTTCAGCTTAGCTCTAGCTTAATTTTAGTTTAGCTCTAGCTTAACTTTAGCTTAGCTTTAGCTTAGCTTTAGCTTAGCTTTAGCTTAGCTTCAACTTAGCTTCAGCTTAGCTTTAGCTTAGCTCTAGCTTAGCGTCAGCTTAGCTTCAGCTTAGCTTTAGCTTAGCTCTAGCTTAGCTTCAGCTTAGCTTTAGCTTGGTTTCAGCTTAGCTTCAGCTTAGCTTTAGTTTAGCTTCAGCTTAGCTCTAGCTTAGCTTTAGCTTAGCTCTAGCTTAGCATTAGCTTAATGTTAGTTTAGATTTAGCTTAGCTTTAGCTTAGCTTCAGCTTAACCTTAGCTTAGCTTTAGCTTAGCTTTAGCTTAGCTTTAGCTTAGCTTTAGCTTAGCCTTAGCTTAGCGTTAGCTTAGCTTTAGATTAGCCTTAGCTTAGCTTTTTCTTAGCTTTAGCTTAGCTTTACTGTTACTACTAATGCTGCTTTCCTAGGGGCTCCAACTCCTACGTAGGGTCGCACTGGGATAATTTTATCACATGTTCGACAGAATCGTCAAACACGTTCAAACATGCAACCCTGTCAGATTCAGCAGTGGATGCCATTGTTCCCTTCACGTTTGCCCTCCGCATGATGTCGTCGTCAGGTGTCGTCAAGTTGCATGCACGTAATTATCGAAGACGCTGACGGCGAATCATCGCCGCCCCCTGCCATGTGGAAGAACCTATGAGGCAGAACGTTGCGGTCAGAGCTCGGCCAAGTTAGTTATCGGACTACGCTACGTGTTCCCCCAGCGGGTGTGGAAACCCTTCGGAGAACACGTCGGGGAGAATGAAGAAGAGGAGGAGAGGGAGGAAAAAGGAGGAGGAGGTCTTGGAAGCCTCTTGGGTCACTCGCGTGGCCTCGTGGGAGTTTCCTGGGGGCCTCAGGGAAGCCCTCTTCGGGTGTTTTGGGGACATCTTCGGTTTGTTTCCCAGTAGCGTGGTTTACTTGACTATGAAAAGTTCTGATGTTTAATATACTTGTAGATAAGTATAGTGAAGTGTAACATTACTCATCATTCACTACCACTATTTTATCGCTTCGCCCATTCCGCAGGCCCATATTGCGGACCGCGGTCGACTGGCCGAGTGGTCGTCGGCAGTGCGGAGCTGCATGGGCGGCGGATGTTGTTCTGAGACGTTGCGTTCGGCATGTTGGGGTTGAGCCAGCTCTCGTGGAGCACCTTCGTGCCGATTCGTTTGGACCTTCTGGGGAGTTGTTGGGGGAATGCTCGATTTCCACGGGGTTTCTTGGTTGTGCCGCCTTGGGTCGCCTCTGGCGCCTTTTTGGGGGTTTGTTGCCCGTGAGTGCATTTGCGTGGGGCATGCGAAGCTGGGGGAGGAAACATTCTGATGCGATGTTGGAACCCTCGTGCCGGAGGGTGACACACTCTAAAGGAGATTGGGGCAACGGCGAGAGATAACGAGCGTTTGTCGGCGGCCGTTTGTGTTCAAGCGGCCGGCCGCCAACATATGATTGTGCTTCATCACGAGGCACACTACTTGCCATTGGGACCGAAAACATTTTTTGCTTGACGTGGCCCGTCGCTCCCGCGGCGATCTCTTACTTTTGGGACTATCGCTGCTACGGCACAACAGAGTTGGATATGGGCTTCGCCTTAGGCGAAGCGTATGGTTGGGATTCCCAGCCCCTCTCAAACTTTGTAGCGGAGCTGGCCTATGGTGGTCAGCTCTAGCTCTTTTCCTCACCATCCACGGCAGTATCTGTTACTACTGACATGGTGGAACATCAGGGTGCAGCGGGCTTCCGCGGAGGAAATTACGTATCTACGCGCAACCGGAAAGACACTAGCAGTGCGACTTCAGCTCACGCGGAAGCTTCTTACACGAGTCCCACCTTCTTTGCGCTACTACACTCCTGAAGTCCACCCGCTTACTCCAGTTGGACAGTTGTTCGAAGACACGCTGCACGGCAACATGCGATACGATATTTCGCCGCCTCCACTCCCACGCAGGCTAACGACGTCACATCATAACCCACAGCCGCAAACATCCGACCACGACTTAAAGGGACCATTGTATTGGCACTATTATATTTGGACCCCTATGGGTCGTTATCGGATGTGCTGTTGGGCACGTGCAGCGTGGCGGAGACGTAAAACGTACCTTTTTCCGCGAATCTGTTCGCCAAGGACACGCCTGGGTCAACATGATTACAGGCAACATGACCCCATTTTCAACCGGCTGCGGCATTGCAGCGTGGTCTGTGAGAGTTCGCACAGACCATAGCCATGAGAGTACCTTCCGCAATCATTAATTTTGGCGCGCATATTGCTGGTCGTCACACGGACGGCGCCATCTGCATCATGTTCTTCTTCAGCACGTCTCATGGACTTTCGCGTCCACGCGGGGGAACGGATCGACCAGACGCTAGCACGATTCGATACAGCGCGCTTTGAGGCCGAAACCGCAGGCTTCAACATTCCCAATTTCCAGATCCTAACAGCTATCTGGTTTAGAGCTCTGGGCGTTGGTACATCGCATGCATAGCAACTACTACAACCACTAAGCCACCAAATGCCAAGGACCCAAGAGCAGTTTGATTCCCCACTGGAGCACACGAGGTCTTATGCTCACATTCCTGAGCGAAGCCCTGGCAACATTGGTGGTATATTGAGCCGCGGCCATCGTACTGAAACATTTCATACCGACACGAAGGCAGGGCAGCCTGCTAACAACGTCTGGAACGACGATACACAATCAACTGAGACCACAAACTTTCTAAGCCAACAAGGTGGTCAGCCGACGGGGTCGCAAGACTCCTGGGCTCGCTGTCAGGGGCCGTCGGCAACGGTGGCCCCTGCTCAAGCCACTACCTTTCGAGGCTCTGCAGGGCAAACCGCCGAGTCCGAATGTGGCTCCGGTACCGACACCGACACCTCTTCGGATGAGGGGAGTGGTGCCCTGGACTACTCCGACATGCTTGTGTATCTCACCGATGAGCAACAGGCGCAGTGGTCATTCCTGGGATACCAGAAACACAAACGCCGATGGAGGCGCCCAATGAAGAAACCAGCTCGCATGGTGCGACGCGCGGTCCGACGAGCGTTTCGGTCAGAGGGCAAGGGTAGAGGTGACGGTAGAGATAAACGACGGAGATTACGGCAGAGGTACGTTGGCATTCTTGGCACCCCTAACGGGACCACAATACGAAGACATGTTCTTGGGGACAGGTAGATGCCGCAGGCGCACCTCAGGAAAAGGCAAGGGCGCCAGGGTACCCGAAAGACGCCACTAGGAAAACCATGGAGCGTGACATCTGCCATAGTACACAACATTTTCGTCGCGAGTGCTCCCGAGGCGATGGGGGGAGCAGGGGTCCGTCGATGCATTTGGCTCAACCGATTCGGCCTTTCCGCATGTAGATTGTGAGACGCTTCTCGCCGAACCCGAAGACAACCCCACTGCCGCCGCCCACTCCATGGCCGCGAGGCATCTGAGCGCCAGCGTGTCCCTCGAGAGAGATGCCGACGAGTGCGAGGAGATCCACGTTGGCCACGACGAGATGCACCTGGCGGACCGGTTGGACATTCCTATCGCCTGGCAACCTGCACAGATTGAGTTCGTCGAGGATTGCCGCGTGCCCGCCGATTCGGACGCCGAAATGGCGGGGGCACATGCGGACTCTGATGGGCAGCACCGGCAACCGAGGAGGAGCTCCAATATCATGCTCCGACCGCAGGTCGTTGGCAACCCCGCGCACATATAATCGTAAGACGACGATCCTTTGCGGGGCAACCCGCGCAATGCTGGTGACCTTCCCGAGCGCGTCCAACGTGAGCTGGACATGGCGAAGGTTCTTGCTCCTCGCAAAAAATGGCTGGTCCACGAGCCGCCCAGGTTGGAGGCGAGTGCGCCGCGCCGATGACGACGATGAAGATTGGGAAGCTAAGAGCCATCATCCACAACATCATGGGCGGAGCCACTCGCGCAGGCACTCGCGCGCCCGCCCCAGCGGCGCACAGCGCCCACGCGCGCCGGATCAGAGGATTCCAAGAACTCCACCCAGAAGGGGGCGCTCGCGGGGGAACCCGCCTCAGGGCGATGATCGCCCAGGTGGGCCCGAAGCCCTACGCCCTCATCGACTTGTCAGCTACGAGGATCACGGGCTTGCCCGCCAACGTATCTCAGCTGCAGACACGCTGCATTGGCTCGACCGAAGTTTCACCGAGCACGATGTCCGCCACTGGTTTTCACTCCGCCAAGCCACGCGGGGCGCTCGCGGCAAAATCGCCCGCGCCAACAGAGATTGCGGTGCCTAGTCGGCCCCCGCGCTTGAGAGAGAGAGAGAGAGAGAGAGAGAGAGAGAGAGAGGGCCATCATCATGGATCGAGAAGAAGACCGAGGACAGGTCTGCAACTGCGACCATTTTGCGGACCATAGACCAGACCGTCCGACGGGGCGCCTTTCACGGAGCCCTAATTTTGAAAAGACCCCGCGGGTCTGGCCCCATGGAGACGGCTTGAGTCGCATGGTAGATCCGACTTGTAATCTTCGTCATTCACGGTTGACCAAAGATGATTACCAGCTTCCCGCGGAAAATGCAAGCTTTGAACAATTGTGGAATAAGCTCGGCGAGGATCACCGCCTAAAGCGGTTCAATCGAAGATATCATGAGATGATGGCCGCGGCGTCACTTGCGGGGAAACCCGCTGTTTCCTTTCCACGAGGGTGCTGGTAATCCGAACCGCGACAAAGAGCGTGACAATCTTGCCTTTGCTATGGCAGTTGACCCTACTGCTGCTGCTAATGATTCAGAGTGCACTTACGAGACTGGAAGCAACGACTCGACTGTTGCAGATTTGGACGTCACGTATCCAGTGACGGAGGACATGGTCTTGGCACCAGGTACGATAGTGTCTTCTAGTTCCAAAGAGATTGGATGGATACGCACCAAGGTACTGGGAAAGCTGCGCGATGGAAGATACAAGTTTGATTATAAGAGGCAAGGCTAACGCCAAGAACATGTCATTTTACACGGCAAACAAGAATCCTACACCAGATATATCCTCATCCAGAGACGCGGGGGAACCTGCTGCATCCGCGAGTGCGGGGACACCTGCTGATACAGCAGATGAGCCCCCGAAGCCCCCGGAGCGATCCGAGAAGAAGAAGAAGAAGCGTTCTGGCAAGGAAATTGCTTTATCTCTATCATCAAGTACGCCAAGGTCACCAGCTCCAGCGCCACCTAAACAAAAAAAGAAAGCCGGTTCAGGGGAGGCCGACCCTGGAAGTAATACGTCACAAAGAGTTGCGGGGAAACTTGCCCGCAGACCATACTCCAGGGGGCGAGCAGTGGCTGCTGCGGCATCAGCGCTCTCGGTCCCTATTTGGGGCCCTTCGGGGGGCCGTCTTGGGACCCTCTTGGGCCGTCTTGGGCGTTTATTGGGTTGTTTTGGGGCCCTCTTGGGCTGTCTTGGGGCCGTCTTTGGGGCCCTCTTGGGCCTTCTGGGGACGATGTTGGAGGTTTTTGGGGGAGTTCTGGTGCGTCGGAGAGCCGAAAAGGCAGAAACGCACAAATCCTTCAAAAACCAAACGAAAATCAATGATACCAGAGAACAACCAACATAATCTTTTCAGGGCTATCGGGCTATGAGGCTATGGGGCTGTAGGGCTATAGGGCTATAGGGCTGTAGGGTTATAGAGCTATAGACCTATAGGGCTATAGGGCTGTAGGGCCGTAGGGCTATAGGGCTATAGGGCTACAGGGCTACTGGGATATTGGGCCATTGGGCTAGGGCTATGAGGGTATTAAGGCTATAGGGCTACAAGGCCATAGGGATGTTGGGCTTTGGGGCTATAGGGCACCCGGACACCTGGGCACCCGGGCACCCGGGCACCTGGACACTTGGGCACCCGGGCACCCAGGCTACCGGGCACCCGGGCACCAGGGCGTGCCGCCGAAATCGGCGCCGCACCTCACCTAACACCTAACCATGTGAATCCACTAGGGCCACTGGGCACCCGGGCACCAGGGCGTGCCGCCGAAATCGGCGCCGCACCTCACCTAACCATATGAATCCGCAAGGACCCTTAAAGAGGCAAGCTCTGATTGGGGAATGATTTCGGCTTCTTGGGGCTATCTTGGGACGCCTCTTGGGGCGCTCTTGGGCGTCTTAGGGGCCTTTTGGGCCGTGTTGGAACCAGTCTTGGAAACTTTTTTGGGCCGTTTGGAGGCTACTTTGGCGTCTTGGACTGTTAGTTCGACGATTCGGGGCCCTCGTGGACCATCCTGGGGGGCCTCTTGCCCGTCTTGAAGCTTTTCCGGGCCCAGGGGCCCCCCAGTGGGGAGGCGTATCTGGGTCGCGACCCCCCCGGGGACCCTCCCCCCTCCCGCCCCGGGGAAAGGATGAAAAGGAAGGGGATTCCCTTTAAACGCAATAAGACGTTGGTCTGTTCGGCGATGGGCTTAGGGACAGGAGCGAAAGCGGCGACCTCGATGTGGAAGCGGTGACGACGACGAGGCTCTCGACGGACAGCGTCTTGACGACGACGAACCGCGTCTTCCACACGCCGACAGGGTCGGCGGATTTGTGCGTCGTGCGCTCGACCTGGACATGTGGTGTCGCCTCGCTCCCGCCTGTTGAGAAACGAGTGCGAATCGTTGTGCGTTTGTGTTTACGCGCGTGCGTGCGGATGTGCGTGGTTCTTGTCGGATGCTCGGCGTTGCGTCACAGTGCAATTATGCTCGCATGACTGTTAATGCTTCCGAGGTGCTAAAGAAGGCTGGACCTCCGGCGGTGCAGCTGACCGATGTCGCGGCGGCCTCTGCTTTCGAGGCGAGCAGCACCTTCGTGGTGCTCGGGCTCTTCGACGAGGCCACGCCTCGCGCGCCCTTCGAGGACGCCGCCCGGCGGTCGGAGGACGTGATGTTTGCGTACAGCACGGAGTCGGCCGTGGCGGCGAAGTACGGCCTGAAGCCGCCAGCCGTGCGCATGCTCTTCCCGCACGACGGCAAGGAGGCGGACTTTGCAGGAGACCTGCAGAGCGCGGACGAGATCGCCGCGTTCGTGAAGAGCTACAGGCACCCGCTGGTCACCGTCTTCAACGGCGAGACGGCGCCGGATCTCTTCGAGGACGGCCGGCCGATCTTGTTCCTCTTCCGCGATGACGACGAGAAGGGGCGAGCAGCGGAGGCCGAGTTGCGGAAGGCCGCGGCGAGTTTGGGCAGGAGGATGTTGGTGTCCGTGGCCGGCTCCAGCGAGCCCATGGACCAGAGGCTCATGGACTATGTCAGCGTGGAGCCGGAGGAGCTGCCCACTGCGCGGCTGGTGGTGAACGCCGCGGCGGCCATGACGAAGTATCGCCTGGAGGGGGCGCTGTCCGAGGCGTCCATGGCGGCCTTCGTCAAGGACTACGAAGCGGGCAAGCTCCGTCCGCACTTCAAGTCGGAGCCCGTGCCCACCTCGCCGTCTGGTCCGGTGCGTGTGCTGGTCGGGTCCACGTTCGAATCCGTCGTCAAGGACCCGTCGAAGGACGTGCTGGTGGAGTTCTACGCCCCCTGGTGCGGCCACTGCAAGAAGTTGGAGCCCATCTACAAGGCCGTCGCCAATAGGCTCGATGCCCTCGACACCCTCGTCATTGCGAAGATCGACGCCACTGCTAATGATGTGGAGGGTGTTGACGTGGAAGGCTTTCCCACTATAAAGTTCTGGCCGGCGGACCAGAAGGACGAACCCCTCGACTACGACGGCGACCGCGACGAGGAGTCTATCGTGGCTTGGCTGACCGAGAAGGCCACCCACTCTGTGGGAGGGACGAGAACCGAGCTGTGATGGGCAAGGGCCTCCCTCGCTAGAGCTGTTTCGCGGCGTGCGGAGCGTGCCCACCCCGTGCCCTCCTGCGTGCAAGGACGTTGCAGGGATTACAGGCATCGGGGCAGTCCCGTCCTCAGAGCTCCTCGTCTCACAGCGCTCTGCCCTCTGTGCTTGTAGACTGCCCAGCGCGCCAGGCTGGGTATGTGCATGGGCCCTGAGGGCAGGAGACAAATCTCGCCGCAAAACAGTCGTGAGGTACTGCTGGCCTGAGCCCCAGCAGCCGACGCAGATGGATACGAGCGTCTCCAGTGGCAGCGATCGCGCTAGATTTGCCCTACTGGTTTACGTTGGCGCCCCCCTGGTTCCGAAGTTGGTCCATCCGCGCCGGCTTGGCTCGGTAGGGGTGATGTGTTTGTCGTTGTCTCTGTCTTTCGGTGTGCATGTGTGTTATGTGGTGTGGTGTGGTGTGGTGTGGTGTGATGTGGTGTGTTGTGTTGTGTTGTGTGTGCTGTGTGCTGTGTGTGCTGTGTGTGCTGTGTGTGCTGTGAGTTGTGTTGTGTTGTGTGTTGTGTGTGCTGTTTGTATTGTGTGTTGTGTGTTGTGTGCGCGTTGTGTGTGCGTTGTGTGTGTGCGTTGTGTGTATTGTGTGCTGTGTGTGTTGTGTCTGTTGTGTGTTGTGTGTGTGTTTGCTGTGTGTGCTGTGTGTGCGTGTGTGCGCGTGGGTGTGGGTGTGGGTGTGGGTGTGGGTGTGGGTGTGTGTGTGTGTCTGCGTGCGTGGGTGTGCGTGGGTGTGTGTGGGTATGGGTGTGGGTGCGCGTGCGCGTGCGCGTGCGCGTGCGCGTGCGTTTGCGTGGGCGTGGGCGTGCGGGCGTGGGCCTGGGCCTGGGCCTCGGCCTGGGCGTGGGCGTGGGCGTGGGCGTGAGTATGTGTGTGTGGATGTGGCTGCGGGTGCGGGTGTGGCTGTGGCTGTGGCTGTGGCTGTGGCTGTGGCTGTGGCTGTGGCTGTGTGCGCGCGCGCGTGCGCGCGCGTGCGCGTGCGCGTGCGCGTGCGCGTGCGCGTGCGCGTGCGCGTGCGCGTGCGCGCGTGGGGGTGGGGGTTGGGGTGTGCTTGTGCTCGTGCTCGTGCTTGTGCTTGTGCGTGTGCGTGTGCTTGTGCTTGTGCTTGTGCGAGTGTTTGTGTTTGTGCGTGTGCTTGTGCTTGTGAATGTGCTAATGCTTGTGCTCGTGTTTGTTCTTGTGCGTGTGCTTGTGTTTGTGCTCGTGATTGTGCTTGTGCTCGTGCTCGTGCTTGTGCTCGTGCTTGTGCTTGCGCTTGCGCTTGCGCTTGTGTTTGTGCTCGTGATTGTGTTTATGCTTGTGCGTGTGCGTGTGCTTGTGTTTGGGTGTGTGGTTATGGTTGTGATTGTGTTTGTGGATGTGTTTGTGTTTGTTTTGTTTTAATTGTGTTTGTGTGTCTCTCTCCCTCTCGCTCTCTCTCTCTCTCTCTCTCTCTCGCTCTAGTGCCCGTATATATGTCTTCTCTGTGTGTCTCTCTTTCTCTCTCTCTCTCTCGCTGTAGCCATTTTGGCTAACGTCTCGGCTCCAGCACCCGCGCACTGCCCGCGGTACGCCGAGCCCTGACGCAGACCCCCCTTGCGCTCTTCTTAGCCTGGTAAGCCGGCAGTCACGTCCCACACTGCCGCCATGGAGTCGCGAGCCGCCGAAACGCGCTCACGGTGACCGCGGTCGGTTTGCGGTCTCCGCGTTCGGTTGCTGGGTGAAACCAACATCGATGTGTTGTTGCCAGTGATATTGTTGTGATGGGCTTCTTTTCCACCACCACCACGGTCCCTCGTCCTCCTCTTCCTCCTCTTCGTCCTCCTCATCCTTCTCTTCCTCCTCCTCCTCCTCCCTCCTCCTCCTCCTCCTCCTCCTCCTCCTCCTCCTCCTTCCCCCTCCATCTTATGGTGGTGGTGGTGGAAAACATGCCCATCATGTTGCATCCCCCCCGCTCAGCGCCGTGTTCAGCCACCTCCGCAGTTTCCACGCGTTGTCACCATCCATGCCGGCGACCACAAGCTCTGCGTGCCCGTTCGCGACCGACATCACCTTCCTGATCCTTCGGAGGGTCCTCATATTCATGGCGATGCCACGGCGACCTCCATGATCCACGGGGTCGTTTACACTATCGTGAAGCTCTTCACGCTCTCTGCGTTGGCCTCATGCGCGACCGCAGCGACGTCCGACGACCGACGTCCGACGACCACCGCGGCCCGCACCAGCCCCGCGACGGTGGCCGGTCGGCACACTACTCGCTGGCTCCAAAGCGGCAGCACCAGCTCGCGCGACAAGCCCAGCAACCGCGTGACCCACAGCTCTGCGATCTCGACGGGAGCCATCCTCGCGTCCGTTGCGATACGCCCCACCAGCTACGATCAGTGCCTCAGTTCTCGCGCGTCCACCCTCACGACCAACAGCACCATCTTGGACAACATCTTCGCGAGCCCCGCGTTGTACACCATCGCGGTGTTCTGACGCCGCGCCGCTGCGACCACCAGGTCGCCGCGCCTCCTCCCCCATCACCTCCCGCCGGTCCTTCCCAGCAGGAAAGAAGGAGGATGAGGAACTGGCTGGCTGGTCATGCTGCAGCACCAGCTGTACCTCAGCAGCACACGTTGCATTCAGAGTGCTTGTCACGGCAGCGCACGACCGTCGTCACACTCACACCGCGCCCCCTCCTCCTCCCTCCCCTAACCCTCACCTGGTCCACTGCGACCGCCCAGGGTCCCACTACAGCCCACGGAGGGTGAGGCAGGATGCTAACGACGCCGACGCCGACACCGCCGCCGACGACAACGACGACGACGACGACGACGACGGGTTGGAGTTGGGCGGCTGGCTACGCCGCAGCCGTCGCTCCCCCCTTCGCAGCACCAGCTGCAAAGAGCCCAACATCCGACGACCAACGTTAATCGACCGACGACCGACCGTCGACCACCGACCGCCCGACAACGACAGCGCACGCCGTGGCACCAGCCGCCGCGACGACCCACGTCCGATGACCACCATCGCGGCGGACACCAATCGCGCGACAGCTACCACCTACGGGCGCACCACTGACTGGCTTGAAGGCGGCAGCACCAGCTCGCCCGCCAAGTCCAGCACCAACACGAGCCACAGTTGCGTAGCGCTGACGGGCCTTGCCCCGCAAGCTGGGACGTGCTCGGCGGCAGCATGGTGCATCGAAGCCGTCATTCAGAAGGAGGCCTACACCGTGACCACTCCGGTCATGTCAGGAGTAAGTTTTCTTCGAGAGCCGATTTCAAGGCGATCGCTCTGGACGAGGCTGTCCAGGCAGTGGGGGCCATATTGCCATTAGCAACTGGCCGTCATCACCGTGACCTAGGCCTAGCGAAAGAAAGATAGAAATTATGAGCAGTGCATCGGCCCTTGTGTGCCCTCCCCCACGATCAACAGCACCATGCTCGCCGTCTTCCCCACGATCCTCGCGCCACTGCGGTGCGCCGCCGCCGCCGCCCCGCTGCGACCACCAGGTCGCTGCGCCTCCCTCGCCTCGCCTCCCGCCAGCCCACGCCAGCAGGCAGGGAGGAGGATTAGGAGTTGGCTGACTGGCCTGGCCGCAGCACCAGCTGCACTGCTGCAGCGCCAGCTACATCGGGAGCGCGCGCCGCGTCACCGCACGCCCGTCGTCAGTGCCCCCGCGCCACCCCCTCTCGCTCGACCCTCGCTTGGCCCACTGCGACCCCCCAGGGCCCCACTACGGCCCACAGAGCAGCAGGATCACTACGCCGACGACGACGGTGTCAATAGCAGGCCGGAACTCCGCGGCTGGCCCCGGCCGCAGCCCCCGCTCCCCCCGTGCAGCAGCTGCCGAGGGTGACCATGCCACGACACTGCACGCCTGCGACGCCTGCGACGCGACCCCCGCACACACGCGCACACACACATACATATATATACACACACACGCACACACACATCCACACACCCACACACAAACACGCGCACACACACACACGCAAACACACACACACACACACACACAAACACACACACACACACACACACACACACACACACACACACGCTCACATGCACGCACGCACGCACGCGCGCGCGCGCAAGCGCGCACACACAGACAAAAACACACACACACACACAGACACACACAGACACACACACACAGACACACAGACACACACAGACACACAGACGCACAGACACAGACACACACTCACACACACAGAGACACACACACAGACACGCACGCCCGCCCGCCCGCCCGCCCGCCCCCCCCCCCCCCCACCCACCCACACACACACACACACACACACACTCTAGAAGACCAGGGACCCGCAGACCAAGTACGCCAGTCTTGGGATCTCAGTCTTGGGCAGAGTCTTGGGGAGAGGCTCCGCTGAAGGGTATGGTCACCCGTGTCGAAACGTGCTCTGAGGGCTCGCGTTTTCCTCCGTAGCCAGTCTGGCTGAGACTGGTTTCTTTTGCCTCCAGCGGGGCGACACCCTGGAGCACGCACGCTCATACCAGGATGGCGCGGTGCTTTACCGCAGGAGTTTGATGGAGCTCTTGCAGGGGAGTTGAGAAACAAGTTTCATCTTGAGATCAGCCTTCGCTGATATCCGTCGCCCGTAAGACATACCACCACATGACGTCGAGCTGGCTTCTCCGAGCGACGGCGCGTCATGATTCAACCCTTCGTGTCAGTTCGGGCGTGGAGTGGCCCCGTCCCTCGAAAGCAGGAACATGGGCCGAACATCGAGTACAGCAAGTGATTTCAGATATTGTTCAACCATCAGATATGGGTCTTTCACGTGTCAAGCAGTGGGCAGTGGATTGTCTTCAGCAATTGGATCTACCGTCGCTGGGCTTAGCAATGTATCATGTTCTTCGGCAAATGTTTCCCGCCCACCTTCAACAAGGCGTTGGTTGTCCGAAAGTGGTGATCATGGCTTTCTACATGTCGGTGTGCCGTGGTGTTGCTAGGCTACGTCGTGCTGTTCAAATGCGTCGTCTTCCACGGTGGTCAGGCCGAGTTTTCAGAAGTCTGCCAGCTGCCGCACACCGGGGCATTTTGGGCTTTGACCAGCAGTGGGTTTCAGAGATGTTGGATTTGGGGACTCGGGCACACGCCGACGAGTCTGCTGTGTATGTGCTGTGGTCTACCTCATCGTCGTACATTGGCAAAGCTAACATATCGCGCCGCTGCGCGACGCCAGGCCTCCCTGCCCGTCTTCGGGAGCATCTTCGTGCACTTCTACGACCAACATCTCGTGAAGGCCGCCTTCCGCGGTATTCAGGCCTACGCAAGACGTTAGGCAGCTTGGCATTTCTTCCAGTCGCAGTTTGTGTTGATGAAGATCGGGCTTTTTCGTTGGAATCAATTCTTATTCGCTTTGTGGAACCAGAAGGCCATCGTGCATATCAGTTTCTCACTGATAAGCTCTTGGGGTCCAAGGTCGGCAGGACATCCAAAGGACGACGTCGTCGGCCTCCACCACGGATTCGAGGACCTCGAGGTATCACATCGATTTGGGCTCAGTCGCCGTTTTCAAAGGCAGTGGAAGCAGGTGAATCCAGGATTGTGGCCAGGATGGCCGATCTCATTCCAGGTGCGCAGCTTGTTGGTCCATTTGCAGCGTTGTATCAGCAGATTCAACAAGTGGAGCGTGTTCGTACAGGCGTTGTGGGGCCGATCGACTTGTTTGACGGGACCTACCTCAACCTTTTCGTGGCTGTCTGTGCGTCATATCGTCCTTTCGTTCGGTTTCCCGATCGTATGCAGAAGTATCAGGTAGCGGAGTTCTGGTACCAAGCAGGCCAGCAGATTCCCAAGTTCGTTCGAGGAGGTGCTCGGCAAACGGCAGCACGCATGTTCTTGGAGCGCGTCCTACGCGGACAGAAGTTACCACCATTTCAAGTTGCACCTTTGGTCATTCCCCATGCCATGAAACGGTCCCTCGCAGTGGTGAAGGACTTGGCTCGGAAGGTGGTCACTCGCATCCGTCTGCAACCTGCACGCGATCATATCCTCGGCAAGCTTCGGGTTCAAGTTGGCAAACGTGAGCGTTGGGTCGACACTATCAATTCTAAACAAGCGTCAAGCTCTTTCTCATCGAGTATGGCACAGTTACCGCAGGTTGAGCTCGCGCGGCTAGCTTCCACACCGAGCTTACGAGCTGTTGTGGGTCCGTGGCGTTTACCCAAGTGGCCGAGGGGAACATCTACGTGGCGTCAGTGTCGGGCATCGTGGTCACGCTGGGCTTTCACAATGCGTTTACCAGCACATGTTCGGGGTTATGGCTTCGGCTGTTGGCAGCAAGCAGGAGGTCAACATCACCGACCGCTTCCACCGCCACCGGTTTGGGATGATCATGAGCGCGTCTTTCGGCAGCACCAACATAGTGGAACAGCACGTGTCGGTGATGATCGTGACGCTTCAAAGGTGTGGACGATCAATTTTCAAGAGATTGGTTTGGGACTATGTCAAGCGATTGTTCAGGACCCGCAGTGGTGTGTACGACGTGATTTAACGGTGGCGAATGTAGCGCAGTGGGGATATGCGAAAGCGTTTCTGGGCTTACCTGGCTTTCTTCGCCGTAATCCTGCTCGGCCTGGACGTTCGCTGGGCCCACCTCGGCTGTTTCCACTCATCAAGAGCAAGTGCCATGCAGATGACGGGCGTCTAGTATGTACCAAGCCAGGTCACAGTCATTGGAGACGAATTCTGGATATGAGCGGCACTCCTTTTGCCTCGGGCTGGAAGGCTGCTGCCCGAGGAGTTCGGTCAGTGGTGGAAGTCACTGACCAGTCGCGGGAGCGTTTTGACATTAGCTGCACACGCCAGCACATGGAACAAACTTTTTCGGGCTTGAGACTTGGCGCGTGCCCCACGCAATGCCAAAGATGCAAAAAGGTTATGCGTCCAGGACTACATGTGGTCACGACTGATGTGGACCAGGCCTTCGAAGCGCGTGCGTCGTCGTCGATATTGCCCGGATGGGACCTCTTGGAGCAAGCCCATCTCTCGAAGTTCGGGACCTCCAGACTCCTGATTCGACGGGGGAAGAAGTTTTTAGCTGAACATGGGGACCGAGCTAGGAGGTATGGGCGAGGATGGTGGTCTCTTTCCTTGGGGCAAGTACGTAGAGCTCTTGCGGCTGCTTCCAGACTAACCTTAGCTGTTCTTGGGGATACAGTGGTTGAAATGGCTGGGACGGCTATTGGAGGAGTTATGTCGTCGGCTGCGGTGTCGGTTCGGCTTGGGGCTGAAGAACTAGTGGATAGGTACGCTCGAGAACGACATCTAGCACAAGGTTTTTCGTTCCCAGGGGATCCCCGAGAAGATATCAACTGGAGCAGGTATGTGGGTGATATTTTGTCTGGAAGTGTTACCCATTGTTGCGATTGTGTACAGCTGTATTTGGAACAAGTTTTCCAGGAACCTCTGAGTGTGGTTTTTAAGTCTGATGATGATCCAGGTGGGCTGTTCGAGTGGTTGGATCTGTGTCTCAGGGTTCAAGGGTATAGCTTGGCATTCACGCATAAGAACCCAAATAGAGGGTGGCTGTACGCAGGTTGGGGGGACTTTCCCGCCCGTGCAATTCGGTCAAAGTCTCGCGTGCTCCCCTGGCCAGGTGCGTTACCAATGTCGTTTGGGACGTTGCGAGGCATCCTGATGGGGAAAGTGGCCAGATATCGTAGCCTGGGTTTGTCGTGTTTGGCATCGAGTCTTGGGATCCTAGAGTTTCTCTTGGAGTTACACTTGCTGGGGTATCCGCCGCATTTTCTCCGAAAGTTGGTTCACTCATTGCCCTATTCCGCGGCCGTTCGTTCGGCTCGAGAGTCTCTTCGCGCGCGGCTTCGACACCGTTAGTATCAAGATTTTTTTCGAGCGGAGATGGGCGGCGGCGGCAGGGGCAAGCCGCCACGGCAGCAGCAGTGGAACTCGTGGGGAGGAAACAACGGCGGCTACGGCAAGCAGTGGCAGCCTCGTGGTCCACCGAGGGGTCGAGATGAAGATCGCGATCGTGACCGTCGTCGCCGCCGCCGTCGGGGCTCTCCCAGTTCGGGTTCCGACGACGGTCGCCAGGCCAAGCTGGACAGGGCGCGCAAGTACCTGACCAAGCATAATGATGAGTATCGCCAGTTCGTCGAGAAGAAGGCCGAGGAGGAGAAGGAGGAAGCCTTCCGTCGTCAGGGTGAGATCTTGGCGAAGGCGATGGAGGCATCGTTCAACCAGTCGTTGCAGCAGCAGGTCGTGCAGCCGCTCCAGGCCGGTGGTCTCTTCCCGCCCGCGCCGCCAGGGTTCGTCATGATGCCCGCCGGTGGTGGACAGCCGGCCTCGAGCGGGGGGGCGGGATCCGAGGGCCTTCCCTCGGAGCCTCCTTCGGCCGAGAAGCAGAACAAGAACGACCTCTCTCCTTTGCAGACGAAGCTGGTGGAAGTGGAGTTCAGTCACAAGTTTGAGTTGGCCAGCGGATCCCTCTCGGACTTCCAGGACACTCTCAAGGAGGAATGGAAGAAGAGGGATATCCCGAAGGCCGCGGAGAAGTTCCTCAAGAGCCACGGTGTCACGAAGTTGCCGAGGACCAAGGACGAGAAGATCATGCTCTTGTTCATGACTTTCAAGGCAGCCTGAATTCACACCAACTGGCGCGCAAAAGATCAGGAAGCAACGGATTTTGGTTCGTGGGTGTCAGATATCATCGAGGACACCTTCAACCTTTCTCCCTTGCATGTGCTACTACTGACGTGGTTGGTGGTTGCAGTATTTGGTAATCCTTTTCGCCCTACCGTCTCTTATCTTCGCCCTCCTGATTCGTCGGCTCCGCACGCTCAGACGCAAGATGCCGATCGGTGGAGTTGGGGCCAACGTGCATGCAGCTCCGCTTGGTACCAGTGGAAAGTTCGCCGTGGATATGCACCGCCATTGCTTTTTCGGGATGATGCTGCCTTGTGGGCCGACACTTTCTACGAGATTGTGGAAACTTGGCAGTATGGGGCCGTCCCTTTAGCGTTAGCAGTTCGATAGTTTCAAGGTGCAGGTCACTACGTGAGCGTCAGCCATGGTTGGGGAAGACCACAGTGGAGTGCACAAATGACGGCTGGTGGCAGGAGTTGGCGCGCGGGTTTCAGTTTCAGATGCCTGGAAGGGCGCCGAGTGGTTTCAAAGTCTGTGCTTTGCCGTCGCCACTCGCTTCAGCATCATGTATCTGGAGACCGCTTTCGTGCTTGCTCTTATCGCTGACTTGACCCTATTGCGCTTCCTACATCTCCCAGCGCTTTTGGTGGGACACACTCTAGAAGACCAGGGGCCCGCAGACCAAGTGCGCCAGTCTTGGGATCTCAGTCTTGGGCAGAGTCTTGGGGAGAGGCTCCGCTGAAGGGTGTGGTCACCCGTGTCGAAACGTGCTCTGAGGGCTCGCGTTTTCCTCCGTAGCCAGTCTGGCTGAGACTGGTTTCTTTTGCCTCCAGCGGGGCGACACCCTGGAGCACGCGCGCTCATGCCAGGATGGCGCGCTGCTTTACCGCAGGAGTTTGATGGAGTTCTTGCAGGGGAGTTGAGAAACAAGTTTCATCTTGAGATCAGCCTTCGCTGATATCCGTCGCCCGTAAGACACACACACGCACATGCGCGCGCACACGCACACACGCACACACCCACGCACGCACACACAGACACACACCCACACACACAATCACACACAATCACACACACATGCGCGCGCACACAGACACACACACACACACGCACACACGCACACACGCACACACACACACACACACACCCGCGCGCGCGCGCACGCGCGCACACACGCGCGCACACACGCGCGCACACGCGCGCACACGCGCGCACACGCGCGCACACGCGCGCACACACGCGCGCACACACGCGCGCACACACGCGCGCACACACGCGCACACACGCGCACACACGCGCGCACACACGCGCACAAGGACTCGCGGGGGCCTGCCCTGGGCGCTCGGAGCAGCCAGACAGGGCAGAGGTCAAGCGGCGGCGGCGGGCCGCGCGCATCCGGAGCGGGCTGCACCCACAAGGAAGCCGCTGACTGGAGGTTGAGCCGCACCGTGTGGGTAGAGCGTTGTAGATACAGGCGCTTCGAGTCGGCACTCCAGGAGTGTTCGATTCACGGGTGGGGCTGCTAGGCAGCCAATTGGGGCCGTCGAGGCGAGCGCAAGTCGAGCTCGCTTCTGTTGGGAGTCTGAAGCAAAAACAAAACGCACGTGCGCACACACACACACACACACACACACGCACGCACGCACACACACACACACACACACACACACACACACACACACAGACGCGCACGCGCACGCGCACGCGCACGCGCACGCGCACGCGCACGCGCACGCGCACACGCACGCACGCACACGCACACACGCACACACACAATACCGACGAGGTTTCCATCAACGCCGATCCCCGAGTGCACGCTTCCCCTCCCCCCACGCAGCGCGGACCCCAGCGAGCAGCAACACTCGCAGAGTGGTTGGCCAGGTGACTGTCCCACCCGGGTTGCACCAGCTCCCGATCTGGCCGTACGTAGCGTCTTCGAAATCTCAGGTCCCCACCCCACGGCGGGCTCGTCACAACCGATACCAACCATGGCCCAATTGACGTCGAGTCGCGATCGTTCGCCCTGCCTCCCCAAGCAGCTCCTGAACCCTCGCTCGCCCCCACCGAGCGGCTGGCCAGGTGACCGCCACCACCCGACAGCAACACTTGTCACGTGCACCCCTCCTGCAGCACCTGCTGCAGTGGGACCGCCTGCCACGCTCGCCCACGACCCACACATTCATAGTGCGCCCTACTTCGGTCACCACCCAGCCGTCATCGCCCGCATCCGCACGTTTAGAGGCCCGTGCACCGTCACGCCAGAACTTTGACCGACCTCCAGGCGGGCACCGAGGCGACCGCCTGCAACCACAAGCACCACCCCATAAACGGCCTTCACGGCACCATCGTTGGCCGAACGTGGGAGGCCGGCGAATGTTGGGTCGTCATGTTGACGAACGGGGACAGCGCCCGCCTGCCCCTCTCCAGTCTGGTCGTCTCCACCCCCGAGGCGGACCCCACCCATCGTTAAGCTCGCGCCTCGCCCCTGCGCCCCCCTGCCTCCCATCACCCTCACCTTACCGACCACGGCATGGCAAGGAGAAGGCAGGGCCAAGACGACGATAATGACAGGCCGCTGCACTAGCGCGCTGGTCTACCCGCGGCCCCCGCCGACGAGGGCACGGTTACGACATGCCTGATCTGTCGACCTCGACGTCATCACATCGCCCCCGCCCGCCCTCCTTGCCTCACCTGGCACCGTGGGGCCACACTGGCCCCGCCGTTGCCCGCCGAGGAGGAGCGATGACGAGGGCGACCACTATGACGACGAAATACAGATGCACCAGCACGCAGTCCTCGGGACCACTTGGATGAATCGCACTCTGTACCACTGCTTGCGGCACCCGTGCCTCTCGCCGCTGCGGTTGCTACCCTCCACAGCGTCCCACCGCGAGCTGTTCGCCTCCCAGGGCCCCCATACCGTCGGCAGACGTGGGCGCAGCCCAGCGGCGCTCCTGTCCGCCGCTTTTGGCTTTCATGCCCGCTCTGGCTGTTGCCTGCCTTGTCACCACCCCGTTGGGTGCACGCTCCTCCACGCGCTGCCCTCACCGACTCAGCGACAATCCCAGACCGTCTGGAACCCTCGCACTCCCTCGTCCGTGAGGTGCGAGCGGCCTCCCCAATCTTGAGGCGGCCTCGGCCTCAGGCTGGCCCCGGGTGGATGCAAACTCCTCGGTGCTGTGGGACTGGCATGGCCTCGGTTCCTCCCCATGCCCTCTCCCGTCCGCTTCGCTGGCTGCGCCCTCGGGCGCAGCGGGCGGGGCGGGCGGGAGGCATCCGGGGGCGACCGCGCCTCTGGGGCACGGCCGCTGGCGTCTGGGTCCTTCCACCATGTCAGGGCGAGGCGCCATGGCCCCCCCCCCCCTGCGGGGGCGTCGCCTGCGCGTGCTTCACACTTGCCTTCTTCACGCCCCGTGCGACGCTGGGTACGCTGTCCACCGCGTCCGCCCGCGCAGGGGTTGCCTTGCGTGCGGTGCAGCAAGCTGCAGACACTAGCACGCCAACGTTGGCTAACTAAGACGCAGCTCGGTTTTGTCGCGATTCGCAAACGCGGGGCGTTTCGCCCCCGTCACCGCACCGCTCTTACTGATCAGTCGCCTCTGCGCTGGGGGAGGGGGCCTGTATCGGGGACCCCTTGTTTCTTTTGGCCCAGCTCGGCCCCAAAGTGAGCACGGGCGGGCAGCCGCTTGCCGCTGCCGCCCCTGACGTCGTCCGCTTCTTTGGGTATCGCTATTTTTTTTTTGTTCTCTCTCTCTCTCTCTCTCTCTCTTTCTCTTTCTCTTTCTTTCTCTTTCTCTTTCTCTTATATATATATATATATATATATATATATATATAAATAGATGTATCGGAGTAGGGCCCCGGGGCGGTGCCTGTCATCTCCATGGGGTGTGCAGGGCGCCCCCGGGAGCGTCCGAAGCGTCCCGGAGGGCCCCTGGGACCACCAGGAACAATTCGAGACCGCCCAAGACGGCCCGCGAGCGCTCCAAGACGCGCATACATAGCCTCAGGAATGGCCAGGAAGGCCCGAAGACGTTCCAAGAGAGCTCCATGAGGCCCCGAAGGCATCCCAAGAGGCCTCCCAAGAGAGCCGCGACAAGCCAAAATCGTAGATTTTTATTGTTTGTTTCTAGGTTTTTGGCCTTCTCGCTTTTTCGGAGTTCCGACGCTCCAAGACCGTCCAAGAGTCTCCCAAAACCGCTCCAAGACGGCCGAAGAGGCCCCCAAGACCGCCCCAAGACGGCCCAAGAGACCCCCAAAATCGTCCCAAGACGGCCCAGGAGAGCCCCAAGATGGCCCAGGAGCCGCCCAAGACGGTTCCAGGAGAGCCCCGACAGGGCTTCAAGACTGCCTAAGCGAGCCCAGCGGTCCCCAAGAGGGCCCCGCGAGGCCCCAAGAGGCCCCAAAGAGGCCCCCAAGAGCCTCCCTGGAGGCCCCCAAGATGCCAAAAATTGCCCTGAGCGCGCCCCAAGACGCCTCCAGGAGAGCCCAACAGGCCTCCGAGAGGCCCCCAAGAGGCCCACTGGAGGCCCTCAGGAGGTCGTCCCCATCATGTTCCCGGAAGGCGGTCCGGGAACATGATTCCGCGCCTTGGAGGACTATTCTGCGCTTTCCGAGGCGCCTTCCGAGGCGCCCTGGACGACGTACGTATGTTTCTATAGATTGTCCATCTCCTGTGTACACAATCCTACATGTCTTACGTATGGTTTTATATATATATATGAATATGAATATGAATGTATGTATGTATATATATATATATACATATATGTACCCCTCCCCCAAGCCCTCCCGAGTGGTGCCATTTCCTTCCACATATTTCAATTTCTTCCCCATATGTATACATATATACATACAGATGTACGTGTATATATATATATATGTCTATATATTTATATTTATATGTGTATATATATGTACGCCCCAAGACGCCTCCAGGAGAGCCCAACAGGCCTCCGAGAGGCCCCCAAGAGGCCCACTGGAGGCCC